GGCTGCTGCACGTTCAACGGCTTCCTAGGTGTAGCAATACCGATATCAGGCCGAGCACACATATGAATTTGCAAGGTGCTTTTAGTGTGTTAGTGTAAGGGGGCGAGTTATACAGGGAGACAGGATGACATGTGGGTATGTCAGTCAGGGGCAGGTGAGGAATGTTCAGTGGTGCAATGAAAACGACGTGGGTCAGAGTCATGTGGCTTCTGTTGTCTGCCTGGTTACACACTCATTAACCCTCAGCAAGCATGCACAGCGAGGGTTACTGTAGTTTGTCGTGTCTTCATTCATCTGTCAGTTAAGTGCGAACTCACTTCTCCAGTCATAGATCGCGTCCAAAACGGGTTTACATACCCACCGGCCGACGGAGGTCAAAATATATGTGGGATCTTCTCTGAAACTGCTTCTTTGCAGAGCTAGAGCGTTTTCCTGTTCGTACGGCAAGGGCGGCCATTTTAACAACGCGCATGTGTGTATAAAACGGGTTTACATAAGAAAGGAATAATCTTATCTATGAACCTAAATACAGCACCAGTAAGTACAACAATTCTACCAGACCTGGTGATACCATTGCCCCACCCATTACTTTACATAATTGTGCGTGCGTGTACCACCCACTGTGCCGAGGGTTTGCACTTCAGTGCCTTTCATTAGGTATGAGTTGATAATGTTGACTAAAACTCTTGTGATTCTACCAGAATTTGGAGCGTATTCTCCGAGACCAGGTGACAGAGAATGCTCATCTCCAGTCACGTGTGCAGGCTAAAGACACGGAGCTAGCTACAGCGCAGCAGCAATTGAGACGTAATGTGAGTCTTAAAGATGATTAAGTGGCACAGTCAAGTGTTGTGTGTATTTTAATCGCAGGAAGAACATTTGCAAGCAACTGAGAGGGAGATGCAGACACTCCGACAAGAGCTCACAGACAGGGACAGGGAGATTGCTCGGAAGGTATAGAGCACAGTGTATAGCAAACTTAGGGAATATATTTCACTATGTTGACTGTTGTAGGATGAGGAAAGTGAGAGGGAGAAGCAAGCGCTCAGACAAGAGCTGACAAGAAAAGTGAGCCTTCAGACATGATTTGGATGACTGCCACTCTCTCTGATGTTTCTGCAGGAGACGGAGCTGACGGGAAAGGAGGCAGAGGTGACGAGGGCAGAGGAGACTATCAGGAGAGAGCAGCAGCAGATTCAGGAGATGAGACAGAGAGTTAGTCTAGTGTGTGGAGTTGTGTGTTGTGACTAGAGGTCCTCCTGACTGCAGGAGACTGAGTTAGTGCAGGCCAAGGACAGGGAGATGGCTCTGCTTCAGCAGCAACTGGGGGAAAAGGTCAGTCATGAATGGCATACCCTAATTCACTGGCTATGAATATCAGTATAGCTCTAATTTCAACAACCTGAATGTGTAAGAGTATGTGTGGTAACTATAAGAATGTGAGTAAAAATTGTTTCAAATTGCCCTCCTTTGTCATCGACTGGACATCCTTTCTGGACTCAAAAGCAACCAAAATAGCATACATTTGTGGCAGCAAGACTACTGTGTTTCTTACTTAGCCAGCTCGGTACTTTGCAGCAATGATTATTTTTGTCGATGCGTGGACTTCTAAATCTTCTGAAGTTTCTGGTCTCTAAATTGCATGCAATGACATACGTATGTTGCACAGACTCCCCTGGGGTTTGGGAAGGTGCCGGTCAAGGTAAGTCCCATTGTCACACTCCTCCAGCCCCTTCCCTCCTCCCTTTACCACCTCCCGTCCCTTTACCACTGTCCCTGTCAACGTCTTCCCTGGGACTCTCACTTGGCCTACCAGCGAGAAAGTAACGCTCGTTTGCTATTAAAGCTGCACCGAATTTGAACGGTGTACACATTGCATATGTCTAAACAGGTTGGCCTCGTCCATGGAAGAGCCTTGGGGGTAATCCTTGTGTTCTACAGCTTGGCCTCTGGGTAAGAGCTGTCCTGGGTGTAGTTGACTTGTTTGCCTTGCCTTGCCTTTCTACCTCGTTACCAAGTCGTTGAGACATGCATATGCTCGGTTTGGAGTTGGGCGTCTTTTGTGGTTTAATTACCCCGGTCTGCTCCTACATACTGAGTGAGAGTTTACTGTGCCATGGCACAGTGGTTTGAGATTTGCTTTGTGTTGTGTTGTAAGTTCGAACCCTACCAGCTGAGTTGCCCTGGTAGCTCAGTTGGTAGAGCGCTCGCCTAGACTGCAGAGTGTCGTGGGTTCGAATCCCACCCAGGGCAGCTCTTCTTCTTTTCTTTGAAAAGAAAGAGCTGTCCTGGGTGTAGTTGATTTGTTTGCCTTGCCTTGCCTTTCTACCTCGTTACCAAGTTGTTGAGACAAGGAAGGGCCTTGGGGGTAATCCTTGTGTTCAAACACTATTCAAGCACCTGAACTCGTACGAACTCTTTGGATCCAACCCAGTTTGGTTTGAACTCAAAGTCAGCACTGAATTCGTTTTGACTTGCAGTCTTGTACGTTGGTCGATCGGGGCATTGGGGCACGTGACAACGATTGGAGATTCTTCAAAGATAGTGTGTGTTAGGCAATGCTGGACTCGATTTTTTCCTTCAAGTCCGAGTATAAGGTAGCGTTTTCTTTTCGCAGCTCTATTGCTATAACTATATATAGCCATGTTAGACATTGCCTTATAGTTTGCCAAACACAAGGTTTTCACTTGTTATTCACTCTTCGCTCTCTGTCTGTCCCAGCACTCTTACACATGTCAGGTCAGTGGACCTGGTCTAACATCAGCCACAGTCAACCAACCAACACACGTCCTAGTCCAACTAACTGACTCTAGTGGTAGACCATACTCACTTCCACTGAATGTCACCGCACAACTTGAGCTCGTTTCAAAAGCCACACCCACAAATCAACCTGAAGCCACACCCACTAGTCAAGGGCCTTGGTCAAGAAACAGCCAGAAATAAACGGTATCGGTTGCCATGACGTCTCCCTCCCAATACGAGGTGTCGTACACACCAGTCAGTCGAGGCCAACACAAACTCCATGTTCAAGTCAACGACAGAGAAATCAATGGCAGCCCCTTCACTGTGACCGTGTACCCTGACCCCAGACAACTAGGCCACCCAGTGAGGACTGTGACTGGATTGAACCGTCCATATGGCATTGCCTTCAACAGTCATCAGGAGATGATTGTCAGTGAATGTGGGGTCATAGAGTGTCTATCTTTGACATCAGAGGACAGAAAATCCGAACATTTGGATCACATGGTGACAGTCCAGATCAGATGGAATACCCTGCAGGCATAGCAACTGATGATACTGACAATATTTATGTGAGCAGTGAGCACAAGCTGCAGAAGTTCACTAGCAGTGGGTGAACTGATCAAATGTATTGGTCGGAGGGGCAGTAAGGAGGGGGAGTTTAATGATCCACGTGGAGTGACACTGTATGACAATCAAGTGTATGTGTGTGATCGCAATAACCATCGCATTCAGGTGTTTGACCTCGACTTGAACTTTGTCCGATCCATTGGCTCACGTGGCAAAGGAAGAGGTGAATTCAATGCACCACATGATGTCAAATTTGACACTGCCGGGAACATGTATGTAGCTGAGTGTGGGTAATGGGAGAGTGCAAGTAATGGACACCAGTGGCCAATTCATACGAGTATTTGGTCAGGAAGGAGAGGGAAAACTGCGTCGGCCATCAGGTCTTCATATTGTTGACAAGTATGTGTATGTGTCTGATTTCAGTGGTGATTGTATTGTAGTGTATGAGACCTCAGGTCAGTTTGTCACCTCATTTGGAAGGCGTGGTCAGAAAGAGGGAGAGTTTCGTGGTCCATTCTGTATCACCTCTTGTGTTGATGGTTTTATACATGTATGTGACTGTTGTAACAACAGAGTTCAGATATTCTAGAACACCCAATGCTACTGCCATCCATACATTTATCATAACAGTCGATCTCTAGACCACACCCCCTTTTCCTACCACTTGTTGCTCTCCTTAACACGTCTTCAGACACATTATATAACCACAATGCCTTATTATCCCATGTTTCATGTAATTGTATCCACTATCGTCTATTGTAGCATAATAAGGCGTCTAAAAATTGTGTGCTTCAGTGTTTAATATTGTACTTCATGTTTGTAACAATGTGTTAATGGTGCAGTTCTCTGTAAACTATTGTGATGATGTGACAGTTGAATCACATAATAATATTCATCATTTCGTTAATTAGCATGTTTTGTAGTCCGTCTCTTGTTCTCATTTGTAATAACTCATGTATTATACTATTCGTGTTAATTAGTCTTGTAGTCAGCACTCATGTAATACTGTGTCTTTCATTAAAATATTTCTCTCTTATGCAACGATCTTGAAATATTACAGTAATCTGACAGTTTTTAGAATTCACACGTAGTTTTATTCATTATGTGCGGTTGATATGCAAATGGTATTATTTATGTATAGGTTTGATGATGGCAAGTATGCTCTATGAGCGGGCAGCCCGAATAGAGCATACTTGCCATCATCAAACCTACTTGGTACATGTCTCCGTAGTAACTACAGCACAATGGATAATTATGCCACCCTTTTTAGGAAAGCCTTGTGTAACACTTGACAGTATTTGTATCAGCACAGCAAGTTTGTATAGCGCAGTATTGCTAATAGTGCTGAGTGGGTGTTACTACAAACCAATAATCATAATACATCGTTGCCAGGGTAACATGTACCAAGTGGGCCACCATGCACCACATAATACACCTGCACTATATTCGTTGGACGATAGTTGACAACATACATTACATAATGATGACATCATAAACAATGTTAAGAGTTGTTCTCAAGGCAGGAGCTAGGGAGGATCTTGGAGCAGTTGATTCCTCGATGAGTGGCTTTCTCTGGTTTGACAAACAGTCCGTGAGAAGGCTTGCAGCGAAAGTAGCGATGTCCCTTCACCGACCCATCGTTCTTTCCATCTGCAGAGGAGAGAGAGTGATAGAGTTGAAGGGGTTAATGAGTTAAAGTTAATGAGCCAGGGGTTAAAGTTCAGGGGTTTTAAAACTGCAGTGTTTTGGATGCCATGGGTATCTCTTAAGCAGAATTTCATGTATAAAGTATTAGCGCTTTAGTATTATAACCCCATATAAATTCTTATGGACTTATGGAGGCTCTGGACACATGGCTTTCAGTTTTTCACGTATTAGAATCACGTGACTTAGGTACGTGTATGCGTCACATCCTTGCATTCAGCAGAAAAAATATTTAGCGAAACCAAAATTTGCATCAGAACTTGGAGCGTATCCTGCGACACATGGTGAAAGAGATTGCAGAGCTCCAGTCCAGGGTGGAGGGGCAAGACAGGGGAGTTAGCTGTACTGCAACAGCAACTGGACACACTGAGGGCCAAAGTCCCGGTATGTGACTTTTTTTGAGAATGTGCATGTTGATTTTTCTCGAATTGCTCGATGTATAAATAGTTCTTCAAGATTCCTTTCCTTTGGTCTTGGTTTTTTATATACATTCAATGCATACTTTTTACTTAAGAAAGAAAAGCCCTCTTTTTAAAAGATCGTTCTCAACATGAACGCACGATAGCCAACTCTCTCTGTACGATGTTCCTCTATCTTTTATGTTCTCATACCAGCCTGAAATCCATTCACCATAATTATTCCATAATTTTAATAAAACAAGGTTTTGGCTCTTTTGACCCACACTAGTATATACACAAAGGAATTAATACATCCGTTTGGTACCGTAAGGAAGCATAATATGAGAATTATTGTTGGGTTCAGCTGGTTTAGGTGTGCATAAAGACAGAGCTGTCCTGGGTGTAGTTGACTAGCTGTCCTGACTTATTTGCCTTGCCTTGCCTTTCTATATACCTCACTACCAAGTTGTTGAGACGTAATATAAATATTGTGTGTATAATAAGGATGCCACGAAGTCTGAAGCACAATTAGGTACATTCCTCGTGCTCAATTCCAGGGCCTGGACATGTGCAAAGCCACACACAGATTGGGAATATATAGTACTATAATAATATTAGGTGATATCAAATTTCTACCACCATATTAAGATTGTAGTAAGATTCCCACATCCTTGCCATACCGGAAACATAGTAAACTAGGACTTCCACCTACAATGCTGTGTCTTATGCTTTAGGCTAGGAGGGCTATATAGTTTGTGACCCTGGCAATATCAACGGTATCCATTTCAATGCTTTTTGCTTTTCAATGACAGCTGAGGCTGAAATACATAGTTGATAAGGCGTCCACCTTGTATTGGTGTCAACTATTGCCCTTCTTCACAATCCTATTCCCTAATATTCCTGTAGGAGCCTCCCTTGCAGGTCAGTGGACCTGGTCTAACATCAGCCACAGTCAACCACCCAACACACGTCCTAGTCCAACCGAGTGACTACAGCCCTACTCTCTATTCCAACACAGCCAAAGTCACAGCACGCCTCGAGCCTGTTTCAGAAACCGCACCCACCACTCCATCCAGAATCAACCTACAAGTAGCCATGACGTCTCCCTCCCAATACGAGGTGTCGTACACACCAGTCAGTCGAGGCCAACACAAACTCCATGTTCAAGTCAACGACAGAGAAATCAATGGCAGCCCCTTCACCGTGACCGTGTACCCTGACCCCAGACAACTAGGCCACCCAGTGAGTGTTTATACAAGCCTGAGTGGGCCCTACGGAATGACATTCAACAAAGACAACGACATAATTGTCACCGAAAGTAACGGTGATACATTGTCCATCATTGACGCCCAAAGAAAGAACGTCCGCAAATTCCACGGAGCGATTTCGGATTCACCGAAGGGCGTGGCTATTGACGGTGTCGGCAACATCTACGTAACCAGCAAAAACAAGCTTCAGAAATTCTCCGGCACTGGGGCGCTGATTAAACGCATTGGCAGAACCGGAAGAAGTGATGGGGAATTTGCAGACCCGCGTGCCGTGACGGTACACAACGATCAGCTGTACGTGTGCGACATTTACAACCATCGCATTCAAGTCTTTGACCTCGACTTGAACTTTGTCCGATCCATCGGCTTGCACGGCGAGGGACGCGAGGAGTTTGACGAGCCCCAAGACGTCTGGTTCGACACCGCGGGGAACATGTACGTGGCAGAATGGGGGAACGGAAGGATTCAAGTGTTGGACTGGAATTGCAAGTTCAAGCATGAATTTGGTCGCGAAGGGAGTCGACCATCGGGTCTTACGATTGCTGACCGATACGTGTATGTGTCCGATCTCAGCGGTCACTACATCGCCATTTACGACACCTCGGGTCAGTTTGTCGCTGCGTTTGGAAGGGATGGTACCAAGGAGGGTGAGTTCCAGGGACTACGCGGTATCAATACATGCGTCGATGGATTTATACACGTATGTGACAGTGGCAACAACAGAATACAGTCATTTTGAGATTTTTGTATAGTCATTTTGATTTTTGTACAGAATACAGTCATTTGGATTTATGAATTTGATTTTTGTACAGAATACAGAATTTGATTTTTGTATAATTATACAGAAAATAGTATTTTGATTTCTGTACAGAATACAGTCGTTTTTTTATATTTGTACAGAATACTTGATTTTTGCGATTTTTTCTGCATAACACACCAAGCAATATCTGTAACACCCATTCACACTTTCTGCACACTATTATTATAGAGCTCTATAATTATATCATCAGCTCACTGGACACTGTCCGCTAGATGCACACACATTTTTGATACGCAACGACTCAACGATGCTAATGGCAGAGGCGCGCTGGCAACCACCCCACTCTCCTGCGGCGCGGTTGAACGACCGGGTTGGACACGCATGCGCACAATGTTAGGGTGGGGCTCGTATAGGTCACAAAAAAATTAATGGCTGAAGAGTTTCTCCGCGATCATCCAGGGCTGAGGCCCTTCGTTCTCTCCGACGTCCACCGCACTGGAACCAGAATCGGCGGTGGGGCTTACGGCAAAGTGGATGAAGTGGTCGTTTCTGTGGGCGCCGCCGCCAAAACAATCTACCCCATCTTGCAAGAAGGTGATGCAACGACCGCCGAACTGCCTAAGGCCGCGACCGAGTTCGTGAGGGAATGCCAGCTTATGAGCACCCTCCGCCACCCGAACATCGTCCAGTTTCTGGGCGTCGCTTTCTTTCCCGGCTCGCGACTGCCAGCCCTCGTCATGGAGCGACTGCTGACGAGTCTTCACGACTTGCTGGCTCCGGACACGCCCCCTCCGTCCGGCGCCGTCACACCGGTATCTTTCTTCTCCATGGCTCTCAAGTGCTCCGTACTGCTCAACGTAGCGCGTGGCCTAGCATACCTCCACGAGCGATCATCGCCCGTCATCCACCGCGACTTATCGGCCAGAAATGTTCTCCTGGACTCGGAGATGGTGGCCAAGATAGCCGACCTGGGCGTGGCTCGTATCGTTCCTCGTGTGAGAGCTGCAGCCACCATGACAACGGGGCCTGGGGCTTCAGTCTACATGCCTCCAGAGGCCACTGCTCCTGCTGCTTCCAACATTGAAATGTCGAAATACGATGCCAGTGTTGATATTTTCTCTATTGGGGTTGTTTCCATTTTCACAATCGGTGAAATCTTTCCCTGTGATCCTCTTGCTCCAACTTTCGCAGATGAGAAAAGTGGGGAGGTAGTAGCTCGCACTGAACTACAGCGACGCAGCCATTACATGCGAAACGTAAACGAGCAACTCCGTGCCTGTGGCCAGCTCCGTGGGGACCACCCTCTCATTCGGCTGATCCAGCAATGCCTGCAAAATTTCCCTTCCAAGAGGCCAGGTATTCGTGAGGTGCTGCGTCTGCTGGAGGAGGCCAGAGCTGGTTTTAGAGATGAAGGGAGTGAGAGGAACAAACGTGAACTGGTACGAGCTCTTCAGACCCAGCCCAGGAACCAGGTGAGGGACTGCACACTCATTGGGTATGAGTTGATGTGTTGACAAAAACTCTTGTGATTCTACCAGAATTTGGAGCGTGTTCTCCGAGACCTGGTGACAGAGAATGCTCATCTCCAGTCACGTGTGCAGGCTAAAGACACGGAGTTAGCTGCAGCACAGCAGCGATTGAGACGTAATGTGAGTCTTAAAGATGATATAGTTGCACAGTCAAGTGTTGTGTGTTTTGTGATCGCAGGAAGAACATTTGCAAGCAACTGAGAGGGAGATGCAGACACTCAGACAAGAGCTGACAAGAAAAGTGAGTATTCAGCCTTTTTTTAGGCATGTCTGCCACTCTCTCACGTTTCTGCAGGAGACAGAGCTGACGAGAAAGGAGGCAGAGGCTGCGAGGGCAGAGGAGACTAGCAGGAGAGAGCAGCAGCAGATTCAGGAGATGAGACAGAGAGTTAGTCTAGTGTGTGGAGTTGTGTGTTGTGACTAGAGGTCCTCCTGACTGCAGGAGACTGAGTTAGTGCAGGCCACGGACAGGGAGATAGCTCTGCTTCAGCAGCAACTGGGGGAAAAGGAGCAGCAGATTCAGGAGATGGGACAGAGAGTTAGTCTAGTGTGTGGAGTTGTGTGTTGTGACTAGAGATCCTCCTGACTGCAGGAGACTGAGTTAGTGCAGGCCACAGACAGGGAGATGGCTCTGCTTCAGCAGCAACTTGGGGAAAAGGTCAGTGATGAATGGTCAATTCACTGGCTATGAATATCAGTACAGCTCTAATTTCACACACCTGAATGTGTATATAGGCATATGTGTGGTAGCTAACTATAAGAATGTGAGTAAAAATTGTCGCAAATTGCCCTCCTTTGTCATCGACTCGACAGTCTTTCTGGACTCAAAAGCAACCAAAATAGCATACATTTGTGGCAGCAAGACTACTGTGTTTCTTACTTAGCGAGCTCGGGTATTTGCAGCAATAATATTATTTTTGTCGATGCGTGGACTTCTAAATCGTCTGAAGTTTCTGTCTCTAAATTGCATGTAATATCATACGTATGTTTGCACAGACTCCCCTGGGGTTTGGGAAGGTGCCGGTCAAGGTAAGTCCCATTGTCCACACTCCTCCAGCCCCTTCCCTCCTCCCTTTGACCACCTCCCGTCCCTTAACCACTGTCCCTGTCAACGTCTTCCCTGGGACTCTCACTTGGCCTATACCCAGCGAGAGAGTAATGCTCGTTTGCTATTAAAGCTGCACCGAGTTTGAACGGTGTACACATTGCATATGTCTAAACATGTTGGCCTCGTCCATGGAAGAGCCTTGGGGTAATCCTTGTGTTCTACAGCTCTTTCTTTGAAAGAAAGAGCTGTCCTGGGTGTAGTTGACTTGTTTGCCTTGCCTTGCCTTTTACCAAGTTGTTGAGACATGCATATGCTCGGTTAGGAGTTGGGCGTCATTGGTGGTTTAATTACCCCAGTC